AGAGGTGGTCGACGAAGATGAGCTTTGATTCGCTATGGCGCAGGATGATGGAGATGTTGTGGGCGTCGAGGCGGGTGTTGATGTTGTTGAGGATGGCCCCGGACATGGGGACCGCAAAGTGAAGCTCGTACATGGCTGGGGTGTTGGGGGCCACCACGGAGACCACCTGGGAGCGCTTGACGAGGGAGGAGATGGAGGAGGCCAGCTGGAGGCATCGACGGTGAGTTTGGGACCAAGTGTAGGTGGTGGTAGTAGTGGTGGCGGTGTAGATGATGGATGGGCAGTCGCCGTTGACAACCGCCGCTCTTTCGAGGAGAGTGAGGGGAGTGAGAGGGCAGAGATTTGCAGGGCTTGGATTCAACTGGTCCATTCTTTGGAGGTGTTTGAAATGGAGAGAGAGAGAGAGAGAGAGGATGAAGAGGTAGTGAGAGTGGTATAAGGAAAGGGAGGTGCATTGGTTTAAGTACACAAAAAGCTGAGGCTCAATCGGGATTCAGGCTTTAGGAGCTCGTACGGTCTTTCATTTAATGGAGGTGGGGTCAAGGGGCAAGCTAGTACGTGGAGCCGGGGACCAAAACACGTGTAATAAAAACAAAAAAATGTTCGTTAAATGCAAAAAAGGACAAATCAAAACAGAACGAAGGCATGGTTTGTTAAACAAAAACATGGTGGTTGTTAGGAAAAAAAAAAACAAAGCAAGAGGATTCATTAGGAGTGTTGTAATTTTATATTTTGACAAGAAATAACATATGTTTGCGATTTCCTAGCCAAATAATTATTTATGTAAATGTGAGCTAGGCGAATTGGCTAAGATAGCGTGCTCGTCACTTTTCAACTTTTTAAAACGTATATTAAATAAGATTTCAAGATTAAAATACATAATGTTAATAAGAACACCCCAATGCCATGTCATATTCGATCTATCGGTCATGAGTTTTTGTATATGTTGAAGCAAATGTCTTATTTTTTTCCGTGTGACATATTTTTAGCGAAGTCAACATGATGGAAGATAATTTAGTTAATTTTAGACATTTATATGATCATCCATGTATTTAGTTTTGTAATTTTCCTAGTACCATTTTGTTAAAGTTAAAATTTAAGTTGTATGATTTTAGGATCCATTGTCATTGTAATATACTTTGTTAAAAAAATAATATAAAAAGGAGACAGAAAACTTTATGAACCATTGAATTCTGTTTAAATGATATATTTTGTTCGCCACACTGTTTATATGAGAGAAAGCGAGACCAAAAATAAAAAGGAGACAGAAAAGAGAGAAATGTTAGATCATCCTGTGCCGAGAGAAACAGTGGCGGAGGGCCTGTTACAAGATTTTGACACAATTGCTTTCTATTGGTGTAGGAAGTATACATAATAATTATTGTTTGTGGCTCCCTCACAATAAAGAAAAGATGTATTTCTCTTTACAAGAAAAGACTAGGTGATTTCTTCACAAAAGTGATTTTGGAGCCCACCAATATCTTAATAAAAAATAAAAACATCCAATCAAATAAAGTTTCAAAAAATTCCCTTTACCAAATAGGAAGTAGACTTTTACCCAAATAAGAAAAGATTGAGATTTTAATTTTTATTCATATATAAAGCAACATGAACTTAGTTTGAAGCAGTCGCACACATCAAAAGGAAATAATTGAATTTGGTTGTTTGCTCTCCAACATCGTGCTTCAAATTTTTTAATTTCAAGTTAGATAACTTTACATAGTCATAGCTTTTTTCCTTTGTTTATTTATTCTTTTATGAGAATATATTTGTATATGTTTATATGAGTGAAAACTTCTCACAGACTCTTTGATTATGTACGTCGAAAGGAAAATTGCAGACAAGTTTAGCATTGACTCAATCATAGATGGTTTTCGAGATATGAAAGAGAGACGAGTGTTATTGTAATACCTAATTGAATAAACAATTGGTTTTTGCCTTTTATTTTTCCAAACATTATGTTAAGGTTGAAAATTGAAATTTTTTAATGTCTTGTTTGGTTTATATGTTGGCCCCCCAACACATAAATTCTTGGCTCTGCCACTGGAGAGAAATACTGTCATGTAATGGATACAACACTTTTTGTTATTTTCGGCCAATAACGTAATGATATGTTAAATTATTTTTTCACGTGTCTTTGTGTTATTGACCGAAAATAGCAAAACAATATTATCCATGTTACAATAATTTTTTTTTTGCTCCAGTAGCCATGCTTCTCCCACCTTTTTATTTTTGTCACCTTTCTTAGTTCGATCATTTTTCCCTCCTTGAAGCTCTTCTCAACATTTAAACGTAAACTCCATTATTTACTATTATAAAGAAAAAGATTTTGTCCTATTGTAATTTATATCCGGTGTTGTATTAAGATGGGCTTTCATTGTAACAACAAAAATGAAATTTACTTCATGAAGAGGCAATTAACAAACGCATTGAAAACTTGGACCAAACATATCAAGTTATCATGAACCTCGTTCAAAAAAGAGACTTCAAGCACTGAGGTAATAAGCTGTACCATGAAACACATTGGACACAGACATCTTCCGAAACTTCATTTTGGACAAACGTAGCAAGCAATCTCGTCAGCCCAAAGGCAAACTTAGCTAGACAAACAATTTAACGAACACATGGCGTGCATTACTCAAAGACTCATTTGAAGCAAATTTGTACCCAAAACAAGGACATGTCAAGCCAGCCCGTATGTTACACATGGAAAGGAGGGCATCTAATTTGATTACGCATGAATTGTTTGAGATTTGTGTTTGTTCTTTTTAATATATTTTCTTAAAAACTATCTTATTTTACTTTAAAAAATTAATTAAATAAAGTCGTGCCAGGTAAATGCACAAACTATGTCAATCTTTCTTTAATCTCCTGAAGTAGAACAACCCAATCAACAATGAGTATGATGAGATGGGCTACAATTTTTAGGACCTAAGTAGGGTTGCTAGGCCCAGAGTGTGAGAGACATATCAAGAATTCTGTAGTGAGGGCCTTATATATGATCCTTATATGAGGCATTTATCACTTAATCGTTGGATCAATTTAGTTAGTCATTGGATCAAATTAGTTAACTTGATCTAACAGTTAAGAATAAGATATAAGACCTCACCTAAGGGCCATAAATAAGGCCCTTACTATATGACTTATCTGATTAGTTTCTTGATGTTTTGGGCTTTGGGCCCTACTTAATTATTGACTCACTTCCTTCCACTAGTTGGGATAACAAGAATGACATTTTTAGGGACAATGTTGATGCCAAAAATTCGATCAACTTTAAATATGTGAGAGCGAGTGTCTTCAACATATCAGTGGGTTGGTCCAAAAGAAAAGGGGACAAATAGAGAAGTCCTCATCAAAGTATATAAGTGGTTTTCGTTTTATAGGTGAGGGAGAGTCCTCACTTGCTACAACATTTCAATGTGAGACTTCTTGGCTACTTCGCTGCCATATGTTAAGGTGATAGCCTAAATTATTGACTCACTTCCTTCCACTAGTTGGGATAACAAAAATGACATTTTTGGGGACAATGTTGATGCCTAAAATTCAATCAACTTTAAATATGTGAGATGCACGTGTCTTTGGCATATAAGTGGGTTGGTCCTAAAGAAAAGGGGATGAAGAGAGAAGTCCTCATCAAAGTATATAGAGTGGTCTCTGTTTTATAGATGAGGGAGAGTCCTCACTTGCTACGGTCGGAAACTCTCAAGTACGGTTCTAAGGGAAGGGATTTACCCCCCTATTCCGACCGGGGAGAACAGGCCGTTCAACAAGGGTATTCCGAAATTGTGGAGGCTTGGTTCGATCAAGCCGCTGAGTATTGGAAACAAGCTATAGCGCTTACTCCTGGTAATTATATGGAAGCACAGAATTGGTTGAAGATTACGAGGCGCTTCGAATAAGAAGACTATTATTATTTAATTTATAATTTAGATATTTTGTTTTATATATTTTTTATATTTGTTATAATTAATTATAATAATTAATTATAAAATTAATTATTTGTTGTCCCTATTGATCAAATAACTAAAACGGAGCATTTCTCTGGGAAGAACCAATCAAAGAATTTCATTATATCCCTTCTAAAATAATTCGCAATACGTTAAGGTGATAGCCTATCAAAGTGTGGCACATGGTTAGTATGGTTGAGTTGATTGTTGGGTCAGTTATTGTATAAACAAAGAACAAAATATTTTCATGTCGCTCTCGTAGGTTCTAAATGATTTTAGGAATAGTTCATGGATTCAAGAGTAAATGGAGATCTTCAAACAAGTAAGCTAGTAGTTCCAATTGATATAGTTATCTAACTTTTGCCCTTTTTCTTGTAGTGTGGGAGTTGAATTTAGAATGGTTCCCTTGGTAGTTTTAGAGATCTTGTTCTAGTCTATCAACAGAATCTTGGTTGAATGCATTACCTTTGTTAACAAAAGCTGCATCCAAATTGTACCTGTGAGTTTTGTTGCAAGATTCCTAAAAAGAGTTTCCTAAACCCTTTTTAGTTTTATTTTTTGGGTTTTAAGGATGATTAAAAAGAGAAATAAAGAGAAATTCATATAATATTTTATTAATTGACATAACTTAATCACATCAATGGTCGCATAGAGATGGTCAATTAATATGCAAAGGATTTATTGGAGCAATTGTTTTTAAAGAAATGTTGTGAGTTCGAGTCTCAGCATCCGTGTAGTGTGTGTGAATTTAGTTAGTATATTATCGTTCCACTCAATAGAAAATATCCTTAAAAAATTGGTAAACTAATATGGTCAATTTTGTTTTGCGTGTCTAATAGCATTATTGATTTTTTATCGACAATTAAATTCATTTAATACCTTGTTGAAGTAATTTTGTGTAATTTATTATGCAATTTTCTGTTTCATGGACCACCTTCCTTGCTGCCGTAAACTGACATTCAACTTTACAGCGTTGTCCTTTCATTCTTATATTTCATTTTCTTTCTCCATCAAGCCTCGTCGTGATCAAGGTTTTGTACACAACCGGAAAAGGAGGAATATTAAATTATATGTCAATTTGAAAATTCATAGAAAATTACAAAAAACGATAGGTAGCACTTGTCGTACCTAAACAGAATCTCCCCCCATCAAAATCAAATCATTATCGTTCCTTAATTAATTAAATTAATTGACTAATTACATCCTGCTCACCCTGCTGCCGGACGACCCAATCCCTTTGGCCATCTCTCTGAGCACAAACTTCTGAATCTTCCCAGTCGACGTCTTGGGCAGCTCCTCCTTAAACACCACCGTTTTGGGCACCATGTAGTGAGGCAGCCTTCCCCTACAATACTCCATCATCTCCTTCTCCGTCGGCTTAGGACTTGCGTCACTCTTTATGCTCACAAACGCGCACGGCGTCTCCCCCCAAAACTCGTCAGGCTTCGCCACCACCGCAGCTTCGTTCACCGCCGGGTGCGTATAGAGCACCGACTCAACCTCCACGCTGCTCAGATTCTCGCCCCCGCTTATAATCACGTCCTTTGATCTGTCCTTAATTTCCAAATAGCCATCGGCATGCATCACCCCCACGTCACCGGTGTAAAACCATCCGCCTTTCATACACTTGGCCGTCCCCGATTGGTCCTTCAAATAACCCAGCATCACAGATCCTCCTCTCAAAACGACCTCCCCAAGCGACAAACCGTCGCGTTTCACACTCCGCCCCGAGTTCGGATCCACCACGTCGATTCGAGTCAGCACAACCGTTCTCACTCCTTGCCTCGCCTTTAGCCTCGCTCTTTCACTCGCCGGCAACAAATTCCACTTCTCCTTCCACGCACACGACACCACTAGCCCCGCCGTTTCTGTCAACCCGTACCCGTGGCTCACCACGAACCCCATCGATTCGGTCCGGAGCAGAACCGCTGCCGGTGGTGGAGCTCCGGCGGTCAAGATCTGAACCGGGTTCTCGAGCTTTTCGGTTCCCGGAGGGACGTTTGTGAGCATGTTGAGCACCACGGGTGCGCCGCACATGTGAGTTACACGGTGTCGTTTAATCATGGCGTAGATGATTTGGGCGTCGAATTTGCGGAGGCATATGTTGGTTCCGCCAAGCGCGGCGATCCCGTACGGATAGCTCCAGCCGTTGGCGTGGAACATCGGTAGGGTCCACAAGTAGACCGGCTCTTTGTGAACGCCCCAATCGATCAGGGAATCGACGGCCATTATGAAGACGCCTCTGTGGCAGTGAACCACGCCCTTCGGCGACGACGTGGTCCCCGATGTGTAGTTGAGGGTCATCGGGTCCCACTCGCTGGTCGGCGGAACCCACTCGAAGTCCTGATCGCCTCTCTCGACCATGTCCTCGTACATGCAGAGGAAACGATCGAGCGGTGTGCGTTGGGGTGCGTCAGCATCGTCGGCAATGAGGACGAGGAGAGGTTTCGGGGTGTCGGGCGGGAAGAGAGAGATGGCGTCGAGGACGAGGGATCCCGATTGGTGGTCGACGAAGACGAGTTTTGATTCGCTGTGGCGCAGGAGTATGGAGATGGTGCGGGTGTCGAGGCGGAGGTTGATGGTGTTAAGGATAGCGCCGGACATGGGGACGGCGAAGTGGAGCTCGTACATGGCAGGGGTGTTGGGAGAGAGAACAGACACCACATGGCGGCTCTTGATGCCGAGCGATGATATAGAGGAAGCGACTCGGAGGCATCGACGGTGGGTCTGCGTCCACGTGTAGGTGGTATCGTTGTAAATAAGAGAGGGGCAGTCACCGTAGACGGTGGCTGATCTTTCTAGAAAGCTGAGGGGAGTAAGAGGAGATGAGTTTGGAGGGGAGGGCTTCAGGTCTTCCATTATTTTCAGTTCAGTGTCATCAGAGTGCTTTACCCTTGTTTTAATACATACTTGATAGATATTGAGATAAGGGCAACAATAAAATATTTTGGAATTTTGCCAGGATAGGCATGCCAATCCTCTTTCGCGGCTGCCAACTTGTCTTTCTCAAGATTCACTATTATTGGTGTATACTAAAATCCATTTACAACATAATAAAATGTATACTAAAATCCATTTACAATGTAATAAAATGCATACTAAAATCCATTTATATAAAATAGACTTTAGAAACACACATAAAATTCATTTACAACATAACAAAATGTTTTTAACTTCTTTTAAATTATAAAATTGTCATTAATTTCTTAAAACAAACTCAACACCAAAACCGCATAAAAAACTCAAAATACTCAATAGGGTATCAAAGTAATTTAATAATCAAAATTAAATTCAATAGGACTAGCTATCATTTTTTGGGGTTTTTTTTAAATTTATAAAAATTAAATGGTGTAGGGTTTAACTATATTATTCGTGCTAAGAATGAGTATATGACTAAATATCTCTATGAAAAATGGAAATGAAAGAACATCCTTGCTTGCCCATGCCATCTGAAAGTGTGTTTCAAATAGTACTACTACAACCCTTGTACTTGTTAAAAATAAATACAGATTGGTGTAAATATAAAACGGATTAAATACGTCCAATTAAAACAATCATAATTAACAATAAGTCTGGCCTGTGAACCCAAGAGAAGCATGATAAATGATGTTCTAAAGCCGTAGACACCTTCCTACGTGCAGTTATGACGGTGTCTACAACTCCAAGATACAACCCAAAAGCCTCACAGGATGTCTGGTCCGTTATGCATGCCAATGGCAGACGGGTATGCCAAGTGTTGATCGATTATCCAGGAAATAGATAAAGAGAATTGTAGGAGATGGAGAATGATGACTGTGATTCAGATATGGAGTATGAGAGTAATAGAGAATTGTTCGTACTCTGTTATGAATGAGGAATTCTTTATTTATAAGACTCCAGACATCATTTTATAAAGTCACGTCTATTGAGTCAACAAATATATATGACTCTTAAAATAAATCATCATTACTATTAAAAATATAACAATAATAATAATAAGTTTTGAATTTTAATAAAATAAAACAAAATAATAAATAACTAACAATCCCCCACAAGATTCAAAACTTCATAAGGAATAGTCAAAATGAAAAACAAGTAAAGATGAGGAAACTTGGGCAATTTGTATACTGTGCAATGGGTGTAGGTGTCTTCCAAACTTGAACCTACACTTAGTGTGAACAGCTTTCATCTGAAGGAATCATAGTGAACTATGTCTTGAACTAGACCTCTTTGATTCAAATTACAACATGTTACACACACAGTACGGATCTATAAACTCGGTGCGGGTTAGCGCTATTAATGGCCATGCGCTTAATCTTGATTCTCATGAAAGTTATTAAAGAACAACCCAATTCTCACAGTCACGGCCTCACAACTACTTTCACTTAGGTGAGTCCTCCAAGAGTACATGTGACTCGTACCCTGCGAGAGTATACTCGGCTCCAAACTCATTCTGGATAATGTCCTTCCTTAATGTCACATCCATCAACATTAATGTCATAGGGATGAGCAGGAGATTTTAATTAATATCTTATATTTTAGAGTTCTGGAATCTAAGTCACGCAATATGAATTGTTAATACCCATTGAACCATTTTCATGGGATCTCCAATCACAAAGGTTGGGTTACCTCCCTTGGTGACTTCCTTACGGGCTTAGGCCCATCCCCCTTGACAAATCTAGGACTGCATTCCTTTATAGACCTTTGGTCAACTGATAAGCAATATTCTTTTCAAACTTCACAAAATCCAAGGATACAACTTCCTTATTTAATAGGCTTCTCACAGACTTATATCTAACTTGAATGTGTCTATTCATTTTCTTATTTGTATGAGCTCGTCTTACTAAATCTATAATAGCCTTATTGTCACAATGAATAGAAAAAGCTGGTATGGGTTTGTTCACAAGGGGTATCTCAAGCAAAAAATTCTTAATCCATTCAGCCTCAGTGCATGCAGTATCAAGAGCTATAAGTTCTGACTCCATTGTACTTCTTGAAATTATTGTTTGTTTCTTGGATGCCCATGATATAGCTGTTCCTCCTAACAAAAATACATATCCTGAAGTAGACTTTACATCATAACTATCTGTAATCCAATTGGCATCACTATACCCTTATACTACACAAGGAAAACCTTTATAACATATTGAGTAATCCAAAGTTCCTCTCAAATACTTGAACACTCGCTCTAAAGCATTCCAATGATCTCTACTTAGGTTATGCGTATATATGCTCAATCTTCCTACAACATAGGCTATATCTATCTACCCTAGTTTTATTTTCAATATACATCAAGGATCCAATCATTTGTGAATGCTTAAGTTGAGACACAGGCTCACCATTATTTTTTTTTAAGCTCACACTAGGATCATAGGGTGTTGAAACCGGATAGTAAAATAGTTGAACTTTTTGAGCATTTTCTCAATTGAACTGGATTGATTCAAAGTAAAGCCATCTTGTGTTCATTCTAATTTCATTCCCAAAATAATGTAGGCTTCTCCTAGGTCTTTCATATCAAACTTCCTTGCTAGATAAGAATTCACATCTTTCACAATTTTTCATATTTGTTCCAAATGATAATATATCATCAACGTAAAGACACAATATAACACAATTTCCATCACACTCCTTGTAGTAAACACACTTATCATGCTCATTTATCTTAAAATCATATTCTAAAATGACTTTGTCAAACTTTTCATGCCACTGCTTAGGAGCTTGCTTAAGTCCATATGATGATTTAACCAACTTACATACTTATGCTCTTGACCTTTCACAATAAATCCCTCAAGTTGCTCCATATAGATTTCTTCGTCTAAGTCTCCATTCAAGAACGCTGTTTTAACATCCATTTGATGAACTACTAAGTTGTGTATGGAAGCTAATGCTATAAGGCTCTTGTTCCACGTACATCTGCACTCGAGCTCTTGAACCATTATGATTTGACTTTGATCTGTACACCTCAGTCTTCTTGTGAAAACAGTCCTTAGCCACATGATTGGTTCTCCCACAAACAAAGCAAATCCTCTCTCTTTCTTGATTCTTAGTATTTTCAAAATTCCTACTTTGGTTGGTTTGTCCATCCTTAAAGTTCCTTCTCCTTGGTTGGAAATTCTTCTTATCGTTCCGAGTATTGAACTTATACTTGTTATCCTTATTTTTGTTGCTGTTGTTCTCAACTAAGTTCACAGTTGGTGGTTTCTCAGTTTCTTTCTTTTGGCTTGACCTATGTTTCTCTTCAACTCTTAGAGAATTTATTACTTGAACCAAAGTAAGTTCTCCTTGTTTATGCTTTAAGGTTCTAGCAAATTCATCCCAAGATGGAGGTAACTTATCAATAAGGCAAGAGACCTTAAAATCTTCACTAAATTTGGTTCCTTTCTTTTCTACTCCTCTTAATAGCTCTTGATACTCATGAATTTGTTCTCCCATAGACTTGTTTTCAACCATTTTATACCCATTAAAATTAAATACTGTAAACCTATCAATTCCAGCATCCACAATTCCATATGCGGCCTCTAAAGCTTGCCAGAGTTCTTTGGCAGTAGATGTAGTAGCATGGTACACATCGTAAAGATGATTAGAAAGGGCACTCAAAATTCTATTATAACTATGGTATTCAATTTGTTATGGGTTTAACCAAGAAGATGACTCTTTACTTGGTTGTGATTCCTCAAGGGCAGAAATTAATCCTAGGACAGTTAACCAATATTTCACTTGTTTTTGCCACCTATGAAAATTATGACCGCTAAAATTTTCAGGTTTAACACTATACTTCTTCTAAGTTTGCCATTTGATAAACTAATTTCTAAGATTAAGTGAGAGAGATCAAATTGCTATGACACTGTAAAAATTTATAAAAAATAAAACAGAATGTCACACACTAGTTTACAAGCAATTTATTCTAAACTTAGAATAAATATTTGACAGATGTAATTCAATTTTGAGATGCAGACCACAAAGTTCAAACTTGAATGTGCGAATTAGGTTTTAATCAAAACTAAATGGCTATCTATTATGTTAACCAAGAAAAACTAATATCCAGAAACTTTAACAATTATCAAAACCTATGTTTTCCAGAAACAGTTTAATTTATAGTTTTTCTTAAAAATTTGTTTCTAAAGTGACGAAACACAGAAGTGCAATAAGCCTAATTAACAAATATTTACACAAACAACCAGAAGACAAATCTATACGGCTTTAGAATGTTAAAAAAAAAAAAAAAAGATTTGTGTAAATATAAAACGGATAAATACGTCCAATTAAAACAATCACAATTAACAATAGGTAGATTAAAGGAGAAAGAAAGTCTGGCTTGTGAACCCAAGAAAGGCACGATAAGCGTTGTCTTAAAGCCGTAGACGCCTTCCTATATGCAGGTTGTGGCAGTGTCTACAACTCCAAGATACAACCCAAAAGCCTCATAGGATGTCTGGTCCGTTATGCACGCCAACGGCAGATGGGTATGCCAAGTGTTGATTGATTGCCCAAGAAATAGATAAAGAGAATTGTCGTAAGAGATGGAGAATGATGAGTGTGATTCAGATATGGAGTATGAGAGTAACATAGAATTGTTCGTACTCTGTATGTTAGACCAAGAGCTAACTTGTCACAAATTTGATTATACAAAATAATAAAGGGGCTAAAACTACTCATTAGGCATCAAATTTGAGCAAAAGAAATTGTCTCACGCGATACAAAAAGGACGCTCACTCCCATTCCAATTGAAAGCACATACAAGTACACACTCAATTTTAGCAAAGTTAATAATTAATTAGAGTAGCAAAAACCAGACACTTTCTAACAAACAACATTCATCTTCTGCTTCCTGGCCGTAACAAACTTCCTCCAAATTGTTCTGATCTCCCTTGTCTTTTCCAAATCACTCTTCTTACTCTCAAGTGCCCTTGTCTCTGCCGGTTTCCCATCCTCTCCGTCGGCAGCCTTCACATTGGAGCTAAGCTTAGATGGAAGTGTGTCTAGTTCATGCAACACTTTCTGGATATCATTCACTAGGCGCTCCGCCAAAGTGCGAGAGAAGTCTTCTCTGATCACGACGCACAAAACTGTGACATGTTGTGCATCTGGGGGCATGGTGTAGGCAAGGACAATCCATCCAAAGCGGCGGAGCAAGTCAGAGATTTCAAACTCGTCGTGGCGGTGGTTGTACCTCAAAGAAAATCCCACCAATGGTACCCCTTCGTCTTTAGAGACTATGTTGAAGCGCTTTGTCTTCTCCAATCCTTCTTTTAGTACTATCATGTTTTCACAACAATTTTCCATGACATTCCTGTATCCCTGGTTTACATGCACAAAATTCAATTAATTATGCCATACATATCTTAAGATGATATGATCACCAAGCTTTTTGTTATAGAATATCGATTATTATCATGAAACTTCAATGTTTAATGAGAACATTGCATTCGTCTACTTATCTTATCACATTTAGATGTCTTTATAATTCTTGATTTGGCTAATTTTTTATAAGAATTATCTTTGAATTCAGATCATGAAATTGACATGTAGCTTGTTAACTATTTGTCATGGACATTTATTTGGTAGCTTGCTTGCTTAGTGCGAAAGGCAACGCTAGTGGACCGTTTCTTGATAAACTATCTTAATTATAATGAAGGAAAAAATCTTCAAATTTCATTTATAATTTGTAAGTGTACCTACCTCAAAACCCAAGCGAATCAGTTGATAATATTGAGCAATAACTTGGCTGGAACCTGCATTATGGAAAGCATGAAAACTCAGTCTACAGTTGGACATTTACCAATGTGAATAGTGTATTAAAACTGCCACGATATATCAATAAAATAATGAAGACAGTTTGAAGAGTAGGTACCTTTACAGAAGTTGAGGGTGAAGGTAGGTTGATCTGCTCCAAGGTAGTTGATATGGAAGATGAGTTCCTCAGCCAAGTCCTCTTTGTTCCTCCAGATGACCCACCCAATTCCTGCATACACAATTCCGTACTTGTGCCCACTAACATTGATGCTCTTCACTAAGGGCAAACGGAAGTCCCACTCAAGTTCTGGGTACAAAAATGGTGCAATAAACCCACCACTTGCTGCGTCTACATGGATTGGAGTATCCCATCTACGCAAGCGAAAAAAAAGAAAAAGAAAAAAAGTTAGGTGTTATACACATGTGTAATGTTATTTAGACTACATCAACATTACTGAGTCATGTATAATAAGTGATGGTATGTGTCACATCAGGAAATAAGATAAAAACTGAGAGAGAGAGAGAGAGAGAGAGAGAGAGAGAGAGAGAGAGAGAGAGAATACAC